ATCATTTTGGATGACTTCCCCCAAACCCTACCTATGAAGGTTTTGATTGTAATAATTAAGATGGTCCATTTACTGAAATGGACAAGCAGCTGAATTGGAGGCTGGGGTGGAAAACAAGGCTTTTAGTTTGGGAGATGCTTAAGTTTGTGATAAGTGTTTTGTTTTGTTTTGTTTGTTTTTTAATGGGGATCTATGAAGCATATAGTTGTATATGAGTCTAGCATACAGTGGAACAATCAGGGCTGGAAACCAAATTTGCAAGTCATTAGCTTATTGGTGGATTTTTAAAAAGTGCAGTTAGAGGAATTAACTTACAGGGAGATTGTAGATAAAGAATAAAGGAAGGCCTAGTATGGAGTTCTAATGCTCTCAAAGCTTGAGGGTTGATAAGAGCGCACAGGAGGTTATCAGGGAAGATTGGTCAGAAAGCATGTCGAAACTCTGCAGCATGGAGAGTTGAAGGAACAAAAAAAGAAAATATTTCAAGAGACGCATTCATTTTGTGGAATTCTCCTGAGAGTAGAAGGAAGATAATTGTCCATTTATTTGGGCATGAAGGAAATGTGAGTTACAAGAAAACTCTCAATAATCAAAAATATATATTTCTTACTTATTTAAGACAGATATGTTCTAATATGTATGCTTTAAATGTAGTATTTCATGGATTGTGAATCCTAATTAAGCAGAATCTTTTATTAAAGTGATGATTTTAACTCAAATAACTCCCAGGTCCTATAAGACTCCATCCAACAAAAGTAATTTAAAATGATCCCTATTTTCACTTGCATTTCTCAAAAAACATGAATGGAGACTCCTGTAATAACCCATAGCCGCAAAATTTTTAATTCTCTTTTTTTTCCTCCTCTACTTCTCTCAAAATTGTAGGAGGGAGAAAAAGAGAAAGAGAGAGAATGTGAGAGACTCACAGAGAGATGGAGAGAAAGAGGGAGAGGGAGAAAATGAGCGTGTCTACCCCTCTCCTGGTATTTTCACTGAATCTTTCCCCATATACCCATCTTTGATTTTCTCTTCTCATTTGCCTTCCTCCACCTCTCACCATATTGTCTTCTCCCAATGGTTGCTGAGATTTTTTGTCCTAATAGTAGCCATTTCAGGCCACTCTTGGATAATTGGAAGATCCAGTCACTGCATTTCTCTGGATCTTCATTCTGAAGGGAAATGCAAGAAGCCTCTTGGACATTGTATTTCACTCTGATTGCTTTTTCCTTGTGGAGAAATTCAGATGAATTTAATTATCTTCCTTCTGAAATCTAATTCCCCAGTCATGCTGGATGAAGTTTATGGATCAAATTATTTTGCTTTTTGGAGGCGTATTCATTTAAAGGGTTTTTCCACTGTTACTAATTCTCAAAAGCCAAAGTACTGCATTTTAGAGGACTTCAAGTTTACTGCATTTGTGAAATTAATTTGCATCCCAATGGCTGACTCTTGCTTTTCGTTTGTGGCTGCTTTGGAGAAGGTTATCTGTTTTCCATAATGTCATCACCCCTTGAAATCCATCTGTCTCATTCCCCCCAACAGTGGGACGGCTTTTTCAAGTTCAGCTAGACTAAATACGAATCTCCACCTTTCCAATAAGTAATGAAAGACAAAAGCAAAAAAAACAAAAACCAAAAAACCCAGGCCTACACGGAAGTGACAGGTATGCCTACCTGTGTTGTAAAGATGTAATGTGAAACTAATATTCTCTGAAGCCCATTGAACATTTCCTCATGTTCCTTCATCAGCACAGTCACATTTAGGATGAGAAATGACCATGTCATACTGTGCAAAGAAACAACATAAATTATTAGAGAAAGAAAACTAGATTGGCCACACTCTGGCTCAGTCTGGGAATTTAACTAGTGTCATTTTATTAGAGCTAAAGTATGCTTATGCTGTGTACTTCAAAGAGCTTGGAGAAATCTAATAATTCCCAAATACGCCTCACTACACTTCTGCCTTCCAGCCTTTTTCCTTTATTGGTTAGGGCAGGATTTAAGCAGAAGAGAAAGGAAAAGACCTAGGGCACACTCACCCACCTCCTACAAGAGTTTAAATGCTGAGGTGTCCTAAAACTGCAGATATTCCTTAGAAACTAAGCTGAGGAATTTTTTTTTCTTATTTATTCTGGTCCAGTGCAAATATTTGTCTATTGAGAAATGTATAATACACTAGAATCATAAACCCGCCATCTGCTTAAAGTGAGTCAACACCCACCTGGAAGGAGACGGATACAGGCTGGTATCCTGTTCCTCCTGCTCCTAAGTGAAGGCAGCTGACGCTAAGCAGCCCTGCTTTGTTTGAGCTGCCCCATGCTAAGGTTTCCCGATCCAATTACAGAAGGGTGTGTGCGTTTTCACAACCTGTAAAGACTACTTTCAGGCTCTCTTACAGAAAGCTTTTTACAGTACTTGGGTCAAAAGGAGGGTAAAAAGTACTGTCAGCTTTGGGTATACGTGCACACGTGTGAATTTTTCACATTAATGATCTAATGCAAGGAATGAAGGAAAAGAATAAATCACCTTAAGTTTTGCACTGGCCGCAACAGGTCTGACCGGCCACATTCGCTGAGAGATCTTCACTGGGGGAAAGAATGATAGCAAGACAGGATGCTCTACTCAAAGTGAATTGTCTTTTTAATTCACCCTAAGTTTTCATTTTAACAGACAAAGACCCTGAGATGATTTCTCTTGCTACTTGGCAATAAATTTATTGAACCTGGAAAACGAATTTGCAGCGGGGCATCGTTCTTGAAGGAGCCGCCATTGCTTTTTGAAGAAGCGTTCCAAAAGACAAAAATTTCAGGATTTGAAAATTTCACGCCACATGGAGTGTTCCCCTGAAGGGCTTGCCTCTGAGGTTGCCCTTCTTTGGGAAGATTTTAATACAAAACAAAGAAAGATGACTAATCATTACATTTTAGAGTCTGAACGTTTTGAAACAAATTACCAAGGAATTTTTGTGACGACATTAGACTGATATTAACATGACTGAACCAATGGACACGAGTGTCTACGGCTGTTGGGTGATTTGCACAGGTTATTTGCCAAATAAAAATATGAAAGCAAATCAGGTTAACCCGCTCTTTTGGGACACATTGCCTTACTCTGAAGTTTTTCTCAGGATGCCAAGGAGTTACATGATTAATGTAAATAAAATTCTTAAGTGCCCCATAGGATTAAAGCAAGGGGCAAAAGTTACTTCAATATGGTAACAGATAGATGTTTTTAGGTAGACAGGTGATTTTAAGAAGTTGACAGCCCATTGGTTGTTAGTACTCGGAACCTGTAGAGCTTTGAAATCACCAGCTTTCCAATGTTAAACATGGAAGCGCAGGTGGAGGTGTTAATTACAAATATCTTGAGAGCCAAAGTTGCTGAAGTAAGGCTTTACCCGGAGCCCATTCTCTAAGAAGGGGCTCTCCATAGTAGTTGATGTTGAGGGCAACGTGTAACTCTGGAAGAGGTCTCCAAGAAGGTGAAGAAGGCTACCAAAGGTAACCATCCTCTTTAAAATTTTCCTGTGCGTATAGTGCATAAAGTAAGAATACTGGGTCATTAGGATGAGGGATTTTTATAGAGGAGGAGTGCTGGGGATATTGGAGTCACGCTATCTTGTTCCTTCTCTCTTGGCCTCTATGATGCTCAGATTGAGCGTCACTGAGTCACCAAAGCTGATAGAAACTTTTCCTTGCAGTTTTTCGGGGTGGAATCTCAATGCTGGGCAGGGCACGACTGCCTACAATTTTTCTATACATTGTTAATCGAGAGCTGTATGAATGGCCCTTCTTTTTGTAAAAGACATACTCAGAATACTTCCAGTTGTCGCGCGATGTTAGTTTTGATTAAATAGTGTGTTTTTCACAACCTACAAACCCAAAGCAGAGTAGGACAGTGGTTCAGGGTGTTGACTCTGGATCCAAATGTGCTGGTGACTACTAATACTGGCTCCACTAATTAGCTGTGTGACTTTTTTTTTTTTTAAACCAACTTATCAAACATCTTCAGGCCCTGGCTAACCCAGAAGTAAAATGAGGATAACAGTATTTGTGAGGAATTAAGGAAATGATCCAGGATCGGACTTCAGCACAGCCCTGGAGATAGGAGAGGTTCTTTTGATGTTTGCTTTCATCATAACTGAAAGTGCCAAAGTAATGGCTCTTTCTCGGGGTGTGACTTTTGCCTTTGAATTAAAACCACAGCATTGGTCTTGGGTATTTTATCTCACTACTTCATCAATTTTATAAACCCTCTTGAGTACTGAAATAACATTTCACTGGGCAGAAATGTGTTTGGAGGGTAGAATTGGAACCTAATAAACTTACTGTAAACAAATGGCTCTTCTGTTCCAGCAAGGCTTCTTTGTAAGTGTGTGATGAGAAGTTGTAATGTTTTCTTAGCAATCTTGGAGATTCCACAATGTAGGAAAGGGATAGAACCTGAATCGGTTTGCCAGTGCCATTGTAACAAAGTACCACACACAGGGTGGCTTGGACAACAGAAATGTATTGTCTCTAGCTTCAGAGGCTAGAAGTCAGAGATGAAAGTGTTGGGAAGACTGGCTGCTTGTGAAGGCTGTGGAGGAGAATCTGTTCCACACTTCCCTCCTACCATCTGATGGTTCTCTGGCAATATTTGGTCTCTTGGCTTCTGTTGTATGGCCGAAACTCAGCCGTCATCTTCACGTGATGTTCTCTCTGTGTGCATGTTTGTGTCCAGGTGTCCCCTTTCTGTAAAAACATCAGCGATACTGATTTAGGGGCCCACGCTACTCCATCATGGCCTCATCTTAATGAATTATTCAGCGACTATTTTTTTTTATGTTTATTTTTGAGACAGCGCAATTGGGGAGGGGTAGGGAGAGGAGGATAGAGGATCTGAAGCTGGCTCTATGCTGACAGCACAGAGCTCTTTGTGGGGCTGGAACTCACTAACTGTGAGATCATCACCAGAGCTGAAGTCAGATGCTCAACTGACTGAGCCACTCAGGTCTCCTTTAGCAACTGTTTCCAAATAAAGTCAGAGTCTGTCAAACTGAGCATTTAGGACTTCAATCTGTGAGTTTTGGGAGATACATTTTGACATGTACCCATATCCTATCCTGGAATGCTATGGTAAAGTCATAAACTTTACAGTAGCCAGTCCTCAACAAAAATCTTCTTGGGTGATCTCAAAGCTGTGGGCAGTATGTTTGTTTGATCTTTTACCAAAGGATGTTCATAAATTGGTGTTTGTAAAGTTAATCACTACAGACACCAGGGGAGTTACACATTTAATAGCATCCCATTGTGCTTGCTGGTCCAACACCGAGACAATTCATTTTGTGAGTGGATTAGTGTGTGTGTGTGCACGCGCGCACGTGCACGCGCGCACCTGGTGGAGGGCAGGGGAAGACAGAGAGAGACTTAGACTTTCTGCTTTCAAAGTCTTTCCATTCAGAGAGAGAAGAAAAAGACCTTGCATAAGAAACAAACTTTTAAAACAGCAGAAAGGGCTTATCTGTCTATATTAGGATTTTTATGAATGCATGGGTTGTGTAGTCTATATCCTTTCAAGTGTAATCTGTTCTAAGGACTAGTGCTATAAAATCTGAAGCATAGCGGACTGATTTCCATAATGGTGGAACACAGTCTTGTTATCATTCTAGGCTCACGAGTGCTGCATCTTGTGTGAAGACAGACAGCTCTACTCACAGGGTGGGGCCATCTCCTCTATGCTCACACTGTCTAGCATTGAGTCTAGAACTACGAACTCTCCAGGAGAACAAAACTGCCTTATTTTCACCTAGTCCATCTTTTGGGCCACAATACCAAACCCAGTAACTGATAAAAATAGAAATGAAATATTTGAATAACTGGGAAATCTTAAATATTATAAAATAAGGTGGGTTTTTAAAAAAAATTTATTTCTGAGAGAGAGAGCGAGCGAGTGAGTGCGAGTGTGAGCAGGGGGGTGGATCAGAGAGAGAGGGAAACACAGAATCTGAAACAGGCTCTAGGCTCTGAGCTAGCTGTCAGCACAGGGCCCAACGCGGGGCTCGAACTCACAAATCCCCGAGATCATGGCCTGAGCCGAAGTCGGACGCTTAACCGACTGAGCCACCCAGGCGCCCCGAGGTGGTTTTTTTGAATTCAGATTATGAAATTGATTTGAAATAGAAAAGAAAGGTCACCATTTTAGGCAAAAAAAAATAAGGGAAAACAGAGGAGAAGAAGCACCCAGTATTTTTTTTAATGTTTGTTTACTTTTGAGACAGAGAGACAGAGGATGAGTGGGAGATGGACAAAGAGAGGGAGACAGAATCTGAAGTAGGTTCCAGGCCTACTAATGTTTAGGAGAAGTATGTCCCGAATATTGCATAGACTTACTTCTACTATAAAGTTGTTTGTTTCTAATTTAAATTTAAAGAGCTATCCTTTACAACTCTATTCTAATATCTTTTGGAATGTGTGATGTTTTTACTGTTTTATTTCTTTGAAATGCAAGGAAGAGCTCAGCTCATTTATAAACATGCCTGTACATACAGAATTTTGCACACTATTTCAGGTAGTCAGTGTTAGAAATAATTAATAGTGTGTTAAAGAAGGAACAAAGGTATCTTGAAGGGAGAAGGCTAAAAGTAATGGAAATAAAGTTATACATAAATATATGCATTCTCAGCCTAGTACTTCATTTCAAAGCTAGGGATAACATTAGAAGCAAGAGAGACTAAACCACGAATTTTGCAAAGGTTAAGAAATGAGATAGAAATATCAACTAGGATATAGAATTGAATTGTTGAAGTAGGGTAGAGAAGCAAACTAAATTTGTTATGGCATACTAATAAAACTAATTTTCAAATAATTATATGTATATGTATATTAATGTATTTATACTTAGATTTATAATTATGTATATCAAACTACAAAAGAACATTTATTTTTTTGATGAAGAAAAATTTATCACTTAACATTTTTGCACTAATTGAAGAAAAGTAAATGACTATTGTGTTTTATTTTTTAATTCTTAAAATAGCAACTTCATTGTCAACTGATCTCTTTGTTTGCTGCAGAAAATGATTCACATTTCTTGCCTCTACACTCTTATACAATAATGGAATCAGCTATATTACTTGAGCTTTCATGTTAAATTTTAAATCTGAAAATGTCATTTCACTCTGATATCTTAACATTTATTTTTAAAAACTCCAGAGTTTGATCTAAGATTTAAAAAACAATAAGAGTAGGATATTTAATAATGTTTTGCAAACTTGTGCCCGAATATCTAGTACTCATGGTCTTATAATGCATTTATATCCGAATTAGTTGATAAAAATCTTCTTAAAATGAATATAACAGGGATCAAATAAAACCTGAAAAAAACTTAGGAAATATTAAAACTAGTCAGATACCTATATTATATTATATAAATGTGTATACTTTCATATCAAATTCACGTTATTTAAATACAGTTAAACCCTATAGGTTAGGAAAATTTCTGCCCATGGGAAACATTCTCTCTTCTGAGAATTACTCCCAGCTGATAATGAGATTTCCATTAGTAATTAGAATTATTTCCAGCTGATGCTGGGATTGTTTTTCCCTTAAAAAATTTAGAATTTTGGGAGGTGTTACTTATTATTTGTATATTTTTTTGAAAAATTTCATAATTATGAAAAAACATAATTAATGTTTACTTATTTTAGAGAGACCGAGCGATTGAGAGAGAGACTGAGCGATTGAGAGAGAGAGAGAGAGAGAGAGAGAGAGAGAGAGAGAGAGGAGGGGAAGGACATAAGAGAGGAAGACACAGAATTTGAAGCAGGTTCCAGGCTCCAAGCTATCAGCCCAGAGCCGGAACACGCAGCTCAAACCCATGAACCACAGTAATGACCTGAGTGAAAGTTGGAGGCTTAACCAACTGAACCTCCCAGGTGTCCCAGGGGGGTGCTATTTAAAGGAATAAAAGATACGGTAGTGACTGTCCAGAAATTTCCTGTGAAGAACTGAGTTGGTGGTTGAATGTTCATTAATTTCAGAATGAATATAATTCTCTCCTGCTAGGTAATTGGAGACAATTTCTAACACTCCAAAGGCAGGTACATTTTCCCTAAAATTATTAAAAGTAGGAAATATCCACCTAATAATTAAGATAAATATGTAGTTAAATTTTTAAAATATATTTTAATCTGTTGTAATTAGTTTCTAAATGTCTATTTAAGAGGAAAAGAGGTAATGGTTAACTCTGCAATATGCTGCTAAAGGTTCAAATAATAAGCAGAAAGAGAACCCTTCATTTGCTTTGGAAACGTGTGGATCTTTTTTAGGATACATAGTAGCAGGTTTGCTACATACAGTGGAGGGGCTCAGTTAAGATGAGATTACTTGGTGGAGTGAATGAGAGGCCAGAAAGAAGGAACCAGTGTTGACATCTCCTTTTTGGGTTTGTTTCCGCTATAGCCCTCAGCTCATGACATACTTTCTTTATTACCAATGCTGGCAGAAATCAAACTACTGCATTGTCATGCTCAGATCTTGACCTTTATTATTCAAACACTTCATAAGAATATTGCAAACACCTTAAAATCTATTTTTTTAGTTTTGTATCTTGTATTTATTAATTAACATACTAACAGCATTTTCTATTTCACGCCATTAAGTATTCTCAGAAAATAGACCTTGTAATGCCAGTATAATCCATCTTAAAGATAAATAATTATTTAAACGAATAAAAGACAAGAATACAAAACTGTATGGACTTTGCAAACACCTTAAAAATCTAAATGGGAGTGTTACAAAATCCATGCCTTTGCACGTTTAATATTAGTCAATTAACCGAAGGTTTTCAGGTCACCTGTGTAGCCCAATTGGCTGAGCATTTGACGTCATCTCAGCTCATGATCTCGCAGTTCTTGAGTTCGAGCCCCACATCAGGCTTTCTGCTGTCAGTGTGGAGCCTATTAAGGATCCTATCTTTCCCTCTCTCTGCCCCTTCCCCACTTGTGCTCGCTCTCACACTCACTTGCGTGCTCTCTCTCTCACACACACACAAATAAACATTTTTTAAAAAGCCAACAGGTGTTCTTTATGACTTTTGACCTCTTAGAAGTAATCTTTTATAACTCTGAATTAAGTTTTAATGCTTTCTTCATGTTTTCTCTCCCTGAAATAAAAACAAAGAGATAATATTCTATCAGTAAAAGAAAGTGTCAAATATCATAATCTCTTAACCCTTTATCTGAAATTGGCCCATTTACATTAATAGCTATAAAAAACATGGGAATTTATCCACAACATTAGAGAAGGTTATGCTAATGGCATATATGTAAATTTAGGAATTAGACCACTCAGAGCTGGTAATCAACTTTATTTATGTTAAACAGTTTCGTCAGAGGGGTTTTGAGGGAGTGTCTGTCTTAACAGATCATTTTGTATCAATATTGCTGGATCTGACGGCATCATTATCTTATGATATTTAGTTGATAGTGTTCTAAAAATTAAAGTCCCAAGACAGAATGTATCTCCTTGCTTACAGGCATTTTCAGGAGATAAAAAGGGGGCATCTGTTTGACTCAGTTGGTTAAGCATCTGACTTCGGCTTAAGTCATGATCTCACAGTTAGTGGGTTTGAGCCCTACATCAGGCTCTTTGCTGGTAGCTCAGAGCCTGGAGCCTGCTTCCCTCTCCCTCTCTGCTCTTTCGCCACTCACGCTCTCTCCTTCACTCTCAAAAATAAACATTAAAAAATTTTAAAAAGAAGATAAAAAGACTTAATTACTATCAGTTTGAGGAAATCACATGTCATCTTTGGTACCCTAAGAATGGACTGGCTCTCTTAGAATTTGATTGTAACCCATGCTCTAGTCTCTTTGGTGGTTCCAAATTCAAAGGTCATAAAAAGTATTGGATTTCTCTGTTTAAGAAAAAATCTTCTGGAGTGCCTCAGAAATTCCCATTTTGACAGGAGCTGCATGTTTGATTTTAAACACTACCACTGCCAGCAGCTCCGTTGATCATCCTTTGTGAAAAGCACTGTGAGTGGGGCAGAACTGACCCTTCTAAGTGTCCAGCACTAGCTT